CTGCTTGCATTCGATCGCCACCGCTACAACACCCAGTCTTCAGCCCTCCATCCAGCTGCTACCCAAGAAAGCTACAGCCCAGACGGCTGTCAAGTTTTCAACAAATTTCAATTTCGATAACGTTGCTGTATCAGTGGCAATGGCCTAGTGAGCAGAGCACTTTCGTGCCATTCAAGAGATCCGAGTTCAATCCTCGGCAACGAATTTTTTTAGGTTTTATTGCTTCAAAAATTCATATTTTTTATTTTATTTAACGTTTGGAAACTTTTTTGTGTATATGTATATGTATCCATAAGTTTCTCGGCCACGGCTCTAATGTAGCAAAATGAAAAATCGTTTAAAAAAGACTTTCGAAGTTGTATTTCTTCCAATTGTCAAAAACTTTTTATTTGTCACGGAGAAAATACCGTAAAAATTATTTGTATCGTGCGAATATCTATAGAAATTATCAACCAAGCATTTGCTTTTTTATAAATTGTTGTTGCTGTGCTAGCCGGCAATTACAAGTACCTGATGAAGATCTTGCAGAAGCAATGAGCTTAGCCGACGACGCTTTAAAGGAATTTGAAGAAATGCGACAAGATGCAGAAAAAACTTTCATTTGCTTTTCGAACACGTAGAAGAAGTATGCACCAACCTAGGTACAGAAATCAAAGTACCACTATACAGCAGTCGCCAAAAGAATCGCTTTAATGTGAAAACCGGAGACGCCGAGGCATACTATCGCATTGCTTTTTACATCCCCTTCCCTGATACATATATTGCTCATTTGAAAAGCCGGTTCCTAAACCATAAATCAGTTTTAAATAATTTTAGTGTTTTGTTTCCAAAGTATGATTTTAAGGAAAAAAAAACTGAAGAATTGTTTGCTTTCTATGAAAAAGTAATCTACTGCTCGAAACAAAACTTTCTTCTGGAGGTAAAAATGTGGAAAAAACGAGTTTCACACGAACATTTTCGAAATGCTCTCGAAGCATTACAAGTAGCTAATACAACGCCTTTTGGGAACGAATGAACGAAGCTTTTCATGCCTGAAAAGAATTAAAACCTACTT